TAATGGGAGCTACCTCAGCTATGGTTTTTAGTGGTAAGTTGAAATGATTTCTCGAAGTCTATGTATGTCGCCATCTTTGTTTGCTATTAAATAAATAAAAATGTGATATTTAGCTTTAGGAGCTGCTTATGGTACGGCGAAAAGTGGCACAGGAATTGCAGCGATGAGCGTGATGAGACCTGAACTGATCATGAAATCTGTGATCCCAGTCGTTATGGCTGGAATTCTCGGGATTTATGGCTTAGTTGTGGGAGCTCTGATCGGAAATGGCAGTAAGTCGTTTCGACTTCGAACTTTATTGATTTATATTCACTGTAGATGTATGTAGTTTGATAGCAAAAACAGTATTTCATTCCTTGTAGTCACTAGTTGTTATAGATGAGAACAGCATGTATAATTTTTTCCTCTTAGTCATATAAATCGAGTATTGTACAATTATGTTGAGTGGAATGAGTGTCACATGTCGTGTGTTATGCCCCAATAATTATAAAACTGTCAGAAAGTATAAATTATGAAATATACTGAGGAGGAAGGTGAAGGTTTTTATGCTGGAGTTTTTGCTCTGATTGAACAAAGTAATTTCATTGAATATTTTTTAAACCAAACACTACGCTGCCATGCACATGAACAGCAGATGTTAATTTGATGAATAGTGTATATTTCAACATGCACTTCCATTTTCAGAATTCAATTCAACAGTTCTATATTTTCCCTTGTTTTGTCACTGTTTATTTGCTTGTACGCACAAGTGCTGTGTACTCATGCCTATGTTCAAGTTGTGCAAGAGGTTTTTCCACTTATTAATAATTAAATTATGAATGCATCTTTTTTTATATGCCTTATTACAGACAAAAAAATATGGCTGATTAGACACAATGTATCACAGTGGCTTTTAATATGTCTTGGAAGATGCTTCCAAACCTTCATTCCCAGACAATGATTTGTCAAGAAGATCCCCTTCTTCAATCATCTCAATTTCAATGGCAAACCATAATTTCTGCCATTATACTGAAATTATGGATTTTTAGAATAGAATCCTAAAGAATACCATTGACTATGTATTGTCAAAACAGCTCAGTTCTATAAAAAACATTACCAACAAGCATGGGCATATAAGATGGGGGCAGGGAGGCCCCCCCAAAAAAAAAAACAAAATTGGGGCAAATTCAAGGAAAAATCAAGAAAATTCAGCCAGATTTGTCATAAAATATGTTATAAAGGACAAATCCTGCTGCTGAATTGCCTTTGAACTCCTCATTTCATTGAATATCAACAGCAAATTTTATTCTACTTTTCTTGCAATGTGCCTATTAAATTCACCTGATTTTTTATTGATTTATTTTCCTAGTGGATGCAAGTTACACATTATACAAGTATGTATTATTTAAAGTTTGGTACAATTATAAAATTAAGGTTGATGAAAGTATAATTATAGTTAGCAAATAAAATTATTCTCAATGCCCAAAGTTCTGCATATAGTACACCACACAGAACATGCTATTCAGGGTTTGTAGCGGTCTTTGAAATCCTTGAAAGTCTTTAAATTTGAATGCAGGTCTTTAAGGTCTTTGAAAAGTCTTTGCATTGTGTGAAAAAGCGAAGAAAATCTTTAAAAGTCTTTGAATTTTTTAGTGAGTATTTGATTATACGATTTCCTAGCTAATAAAATAGATTGATTGAAGCAAGATTTTCGCAAATATCGACGAAAAGGTACATTTTAGGATGTGATTTGACAGGACTTATTATTGTGTAAAAATGGTGCTTACACTTGCAATTTTTCGACAGCTGATTGCTCTCAAAGGTCTTTGAAAAGTCTTTGAAAATAGACAGCAAAAATCTTTGAAAGTCTTTGAATTTTTTTGGTCTTGGAGACTACGAACCCTGTGCTATTTCTACAATTTTCCCTGATAACTTGCATGCTTTGCCCTGAAATTCACACCATAACTCTTCATCCAGACTGCAGAGTTGGTCAGAGGTAACCTGAGATTTTTGCCCTAACCACTGCCTCTAGATTTGTAACTTTCGTGCCCCTAAGATCTCATTGAAAGCAAGAATATTTCAAATGTTGGGTTTCAAAAGTTTTGACAGGAGGCCATTTGTCTGTTCAAAAGGTAGTGAAGAAGACAACATTTGTTTGCATTCTTCAATTGTTATACATTAAAATTGTTGACACACCAAATGTAGTAAGCAATTGTATAGAAAAACAAATCACATGCTTTTAATTGCACCCTGAGGCCAGATGATTTTAGTTATGGTGTTCCATACATGTAGGTTAAAATATTTTATACATTTGTGTTGCAGGAGCTTCTTAGATTTAGGAGCTGGCTTAAGTGTCGGATTGAGTGGACTGGCTGCAGGTTTTGCTATTGGTATTGTTGGTGACGCTGGTGTTCGTGGTTCAGCTCAACAACCTCGTCTCTTTGTTGGAATGATTCTTATCCTTATTTTTGCTGAAGTTCTCGGCCTCTATGGCTTAATTGTTGCTCTTATATTGCACACGAAATCATAAACTACAAACTATTATAACATTTTAATTTTCACATCTGTACTAAACCAAAGAATCAAATCATATTGAACGACAGCAACAACAGGTCATATGAAACGATTGTAATTTTCACCTTAAAAATCATACTATATCTAGCTTACAATATTAGAATGAGTGGGCTTGTTGCTGTATTTAATTCAATCTTAATTATATCATGTACTGTAGTTTACGATTGAAATTGTTAATATTGAACAACTAAATTTTGTTTGTATTGTGAATTTTCTTTCTGGGGTTAGATGTTTGTCAGAATGTCTGAATTGTAAGTTGATGCAGGTATCTCGTCTGCTTTTTGGTTAGGATGAGGTGCACTGAGATAAAGGAATGGAAACTTTATTTTACGAGGGTTAATGCTGGTATGCACTTCAAAGTTTCTGTGATCACAGTAGGAATTTTGCATTCTAGGTAAACTCGACGTTTTGGAGGATTTGTGAGAAATAATTGAGGGAACTCACTCGATGTTTAACACTGAGTGAGTGAGTTTTTTCAAACATTTCTTGCACATTTCTCACAATTCCTACTGTGATCACAGAAACTTCGATAGTGTAAGCCAGCCTCCACACAGAACAGCAAAGCTGAAAAACCTGTGGTGGCCCTCAACATTGCAACATTGACGAGTCTAATTCATTGTTTCATGAGTCTAATTCATTGCTTCATTGTATTTTCGTAAAATAAGGTCAAAATAAAGCCATATTGCCTAATAATTTCTGAAAACCTTCAAATACATGTAATTGTCAATTTGCTCTGTAACTTTAAGCAAATTTTTGCATGAAGCGTAAGAACTGAGATTTGCAGCAACATTTGTTGGCAACCTAAATTCGCGCCTCAGTTGTATGGCCATAGTCTATCAAGATACGATGGTATGGAAGCTGAACTGAAGTCATTGTATTATCTCGTTTATGTTAATTTCTGCACGGTCACGGTGATTGACTTCATTGTATTTCCGTATAATTACGGGATATACCAAAATAAGGATAGCTGAGATGAGTAACATTGAATGAAATGGAGACAAAGGATTTGTGCACGGTGAGGAACAATTCAACATCAAACAGAGCCAAAGGTCTTCTATTTTGTGGCTTTGAAGTTTGCTGGGCTTCCAGACCATCGTACTTGACAGACTGTGATTTGAGTGTGCGGCTGTTACCATGCTCTCAAAGAATTAATATTGGCACTATATCGCGATATTGCTTGCACATTCTAGACTTGTAGAATATATAGTCACTCCCACATAAATATACAAGAATGACCATCAGGGTCTTAGCTAGAGGGCCGTGTTGGCCGTGTTATCGCGGCCGAAAGTGGAAAAACACGGCTAGATAAATGAACGCGGCTTCATTATTTATATAAGGCCGTGTAGGTTCATAAAATATAGTGTTACTGCTTACAACAGACATAATTTCTTCCTATTTACGTCGTGAGAAAGTTTGGAAAATTAATCTACTGTATTTGTTGAAATTGGCAAAACTGATCCGTGATGTTGTAATGTTTTGATGGATAATGGGAACTGTATGGTGTTAAATTTTAAATACCCCCCAATAGTTGCTGAAATAACTTAATATTTTAATGTCCGTGCGCAATATGAGTGTATGCTAGCCTTGTATTTGGTTGCAAAGCATAGAACAACCACAAGCATTATTGTTGGCAAGCGTAACTAGAACCGTGATTTTTCTATTCAAGGTAATTGACATGTGCACGCCCTGGTCATTAGAAACACGCCCAAGATCTAAAATCCTAGCTAAGACCCTGATGACCATGACTTTGGTTTAGCTCAAAATATCCAATGTGTACTTGAATAACTTTGTTCTCCCGTATTTGTTTCATTCTTTGTTAACATGAAATCTATCATTGGTCATGGACCAGCGGAGCTGAATTTCTTTGTCCGCACTCAAATGATATGCAAGGGGAAAATTTGGTATAAAGCGATGGATTTCTTCATAGTCAATACAATAAGGTATCTACATTTTTGTCTTGGTCTATGCCAAACATGTCGGTTCATCGTCACGTGTGCATTGTTTTTTCACCAATAGCACGTGTTGTTTGATCAACTAGTCATACGTGGTATTACACAATGGTTAAATTGGTTCCTCTTTCCCAAAAAGACAATACACTCTGTCACACGTAACGATGTATAAACTTTTCATGAACCAAGACAAAAACATAGATAATGAAGTCTATTATGTCTGCATCGAGTTTCCTAAGATACTAACTTTATTCTATTGACTATGATTTCTTTGCAATTTCCCCTACACCCATGTTGCATGGTAGTATATACCAACTTAGTGTTTTATGCCTGTTCTAAATGTTGCATTTTATATATGCCGAATGCATTAAAAAAAGAGATAATCAGCTAAAATGCCTCGTTATCCATTGTTTTGAATGCATTCGACGCACTGCCTCGTACCCAGGCGGTATGTGTTAGCAGGTTTAACCCCCCATCCAGCGTTCAAAGAGATGCCTCCAATGACGTCATACCATCAATGACATCATAACCGGAAATACCCGCCCAATGGACCTTTCCCCTTATAACTAAAATTTGATCTAGACAAAAATTTCATCACAGCTTCAAAGAGCATCACAAAATTAGTAATATTCCAAAGTTTCGTTGCGAAGTGTTGTAAAATGCGGATAATAGCCTTGCGAAATTTGCCGGTTTTCAGTCATTTTGTATTACGCGGGGGAAATTGACAGTCCAATCGGGTGTTGGGGCATCAATTTCCCGTTTGCAATACAAAATGACTGAAAATTGCTAATTTCGCAGGGCTATATTATCCGCATTTTACAACATTTCGCAACGAAACTTCGGAATATTACTAATTTTGTGATGCTCTTTCACGCTGTGATGAAATTTTTGTCTAGACTTGTCTAGATAAAAATTTTAAATTAAGTATGCATGTTCAACTATTCCCGCATAAATTATTGGGTATGCACGTTCAACTGTGGGTATGCACGTTCAACTGTGTGTATGCGATTTAATTGTATTTAGTGAGCATTACGTATAATTGTATTGCACATGTGTTCTAAAATGTTTTTAATATACATTATGCAATTGCACTGCATATTTCGTGCTCACTTGTTTATGCGGTAATGGAGGTGAAAACAAAGAAGCATTACATATGCGTAAATATAGAAGACGAAAGCGAGAAGATAAAGCCACCCGTGAAGACTTCATGACGTTTGTCGCGGAGCGAGATTTGGAGCTGTTTTTAGAGTTTCAGCACGCGCCATGGAATCGCCGCCGAGTGAGCAAGACTGCATGCCAAGAGAAACCAGTAGCCGCACAATATGTGTTGGATTTTGTAGAGTAAGGGAGACGTACAAGACACACAAAAAACGGCTGTTTTGAGAGCCACCAAGTATACTAAAAGAATTAAACGAAACCCTCGATTTAGCTTTACATATTTATAGTATGCATCGATCAAGTTTTGCTAAGTCAGTAAGAGTCGCTTGGAGGGCCACTAGGTTATCAGTGTCTCGCGGATACTGTCATGTGTTTACCCTCCGTAAATAAAGTCAAATCAATCAATCAATCACAAGAGACGCTCCATACAAAATTTTCCATTTCCTTCCGGAGTTTAGGCAGAATATTAGAGAAAGCTTTGTCCTTAGCGGATTGCTCATCTAAACCACTGTTTATAAGGCTTTCTTTCATTTCCTCAAAGGCTATATCACTTCTTTGCTTTGCTTCTTCTATCAACGGTATCTAAGGATCCATTTCGTTTTCAGTTTCTGACTCATTACCAGTCGTCATCGAAATTTCGGACACATCAGTTGAAGTTGTCGAGCTAGACATCTTCTTGGAAATCACTTTCCTGGCTATCTGAATCTGTTTGAGACATGTTTATTTCTTGTGCACCTAGTTGACAGTATTGCTTTTCGTGTCTTCGTAGACTTAACCACGTGCACGATTAAATCGCTTTCCGTAAAATTAACAGCTCATTCCGATAGCACTGACTGTGCAGAAACGCCTTGCTATTGAGCAGTATTGCAGTTTATCATGAGCAGATGAGCATGTGCTCATGAGCAGTTATGAGCATGTGCTCATACGCTCATACAGGATGAGCAGATGAGCATGTGCTCATGAGCAATTATGAGCATGTGCTCATGCGCACGGGACGCAGGGACGTTTCTACGGGACGCCCAGGACTTGCTTGCTTCGCTTATGTTTTAAACAAAATTTATTTCCCGCCTTAAAGCAAAAGCTTGGACTCCACCTCAAGTTCGTCAACGGCATCACGATCTTTCCCAAAGTTTTTAAAATGTTCCGATGCGTGCTCAAAAGGGAGATAAAGCCGTAACACGAAATCGCACTGATTTTTAAGAAGGAGTTGGGAGTCATAAAGGTCGGAGACTCTGAGGCCTCGTCGTTCTTTTTTGATGGCTTACACTGGAACGAGCTCAACGAGAAAGACAAAAGAACGTGTAACTTCGTCCAGAAAAAGAATAAATTCCCGTTTGGAGTGCCGCGGGGCACTAAAGCATAGTTTCAAATTTCGGACTTGCAGGCAATTGTAGAGAATTTCTACCGTGAAATACAGATAGATTCAAACTCTACAATTGCCTTCAAAGGCGGACAGAAAGGGATTTGCTGGCGAGTCTCCACGTATTCCGGCCGCAAATTTGAAATGCTTCAATTGCCCAAAGTTGAAAAACTGTTTGATCAGCTGATCTGGTTAGAAACCTGCGGGAACCATTTGGAAAGCAACGCTTATCAACACTGACTGCGCAAAAGTCGAAGTCTTTGCGATTTGCATGGCTGCATCAGTAAAGACAAACACAAAACACCGATTCCTTTAAGAACCCTCAAATTTACAAAAAGAATAAAAACGAAACTCGTTTATTAACATATTTACACTGAATCATTCAATCTCAAAGTTTACTTCTCAAATATTCCACATATGCCTTATAATGATCCTGTTCATGACTTCTAAGTTGCTCGCCTGTCGCATTCACAGTATACTTAAAGCTAGGGGGCATCGAAAAAGGACCGTAGCCCCAGGCTAAGCGGGTCATGACGACAATCCTCTTTCCAGTTAGAAAGTTGGTCTAAAATACTCAACATTTCACTGTTCCCCACACTCATAATTGATTTAACATACATAGGGTCCCTCCTGAAATGATTCCAATATTCAAACACGTATTCATCCCACTGAAGCTCAAAAACTCTGGTCACCTCAACAAACTTATTCCATACCATGGCTTTTTTGCTAACTCGCTCTTTGGCTTCCAAACCATACGGTTGCCATCTCTCTTGTTCCGATAACATGAGACAGTCATGCTGGCGTTGACTCGGATGGTCGTACTCACAACCATGCACAACAGTTCTCTTTCGTCGTTATCCCTTTGAACGCTGGATGGAGGGTTAAACCTACTTGTGTTGTTCTATGGCTTGCGCGACCTTTGCGTGGGCCGCGTGGATTAATTTGATCGATTTCGAATTTTCCCGTTTTTCTCTCTCGCGTGCCGTCCCACGTGCCTTAATGACGTAACAAACCAAAAGGCCTGGGTACGAGGCAGTTCGGCGCATGTAAAATGCGACGTTCAGAACAGGCTTTACTAGAAAGCCAGTAGGGTCGGGGGTTGGGCTCTTATTTAGCGGCTACACAGCCCATGTTGGAAAAATAGAATCTCTTTTTGCTAAAAATCGCGCGAAGTTGGCGACTTATTTTTCTGTATACATCAGTGAGTTAACCGATATTGCATATAATACTAGAAATCCCAGCCTGCAACAATAACATGCATGGAATCATAATGAATTAGTTTTGTCAGACATTGTGTTTTGTCAGATAGTCATAAATGTTTCTATATTTCCCAACTCTCTTGCAGTTGACCTACTGAATGACAACATGGAACAAACCGTTAACTCGGTAGAGGTAATGAACCTAGGCCTACCAGTTTCTGGCAAAACAACTTTCACTGCACCTACCACAAAGAGGCCCTGCATGGGGACGAGGTTGTGAACTCCACTATCTTTCATTATAAGTATACATTTTTGCTGCGATAGGTAACGGGTTTATACACCGATTCGAAAAATAGTTCAGTGTCATTTGTTCTTCCGAAATTATTTCAACCAAGGTAATCACAGAATCATTGGCATCAAGACTAACAGTTCTACATAGTGTAAATATAAATTCCTTGTATTCTATTTGAGAAACTAAATGTTAAACGTTTTGGTGCATTTTTT